TTTTTTTATTACTTTTTTAAAAAAAACATTAGTTTTATATTTAAAATTAACATTAAAGTTAATATGAAAATTAATAAATAATTATATGGTTTTTCTTATTTTTATCTTAAAAGCAAATTTATAAAGTTTCATAACATTTAAATAATTTTATATTAATTTATTAATAAAAATATGTGTTAAAAAAATTTCAGTTTTTTTTGTATATTACTGTATATATATATTTTTTTTTGTGTTTGACTAGCTAGGTCTTGCCTATGCATTTATTTATTTAATTCACATATGTTTTACATCATGTATTACAGGAGAAAGCTACCTATAAACTATTCTAGATATTACTAAACTATATCAGATTTTATTTTATGCCGGCTTATTGTTATTGACTATAAATTCGGAAATCTATGTATGTTAAGACTAATGTGCTAAAGCTTCATCAGTGTTGTTATTATATATAAAAGGTTCTATTTTTAAATGGAAATATATTAAGAGGAAGTATAAAGAGAGAAATTGAAAGTAGGCAAATAAAACCCCTACAGAAAAAAAACTTTTAAATTTAACCACCTGCAGATGAGTATACTATTTAATTTCCACTTTTTTAAAGCTATCCAAGAATGTTCAAGGAACTTATTTCATAGACTTATTGCCTATAGATTGTTTCAGCTATCAGTACTTACTGCTGTTTTGATTGCCTTCTCAGAATAGATAATTGTTGGAGTAATATATTACTATATTAGAATAAGGCCTTTCCAAAAACTTGTAGAAAGAGATACCAGGTACTATAGGAAGACAATTATCAAACCATCTTATTCAAAACAAACACCTTATATACTTTGCAACTTCTAACAATCATCATAACATCAACCAGACAATTGTCGCATCACGACACCTTTTCTGAAAATTATAATCTCAATGCTCACTGGATTAGCATATAAAATAGTTTCTTATGAGAAACAGTACTTGTATAGATTATAGCACCAGATATTATATTAATTCTATTTAACCACTTTCATATGGGGTTGAACTGGTATCTTGTGATTTGACATGTGGAGTGTTAACCACTATACTATAGACCTACAGATCTACAATATACTGTATATATACAGTTCTTCAATAAATGAAGAATCACTTAAGAATATGGTTCCAAAAATTAGAATCGAATAGAATCGAACAGAATCACATAAGGTTCAAAACACTATTAAAAATGATGGTAGGGTATATCCCACCTATTAAATTTAATATAAACTTGAGAATCACATATAGAATCGAAGAGAATTGTTAGGATCCTTACTTAAGAATTATTATAATTAAATGGAAATAGTTGTTATATATTAAACTTTTTATTTTATTAATATAAAAATAACTTTTATATATTAAGTAAACTTATTTCTCATAATAAATTTTCTATATTGTTAAATTTTATTAAATTTGAATAAACTTTTATTATTACATTTAATGATTTTTTTCTAAATAAAAATTTTTTAATTTTTTTGTTAAAATTTTAACACCCATATGATTTTTATAACCACTGTTTTAATAAGTGATTTGATATTAATAAAATTTATTCAGTATATGTTAAAGTATTTAAATATTAAGTTTCATAAATTTTTATTTGATAAAATGTAAAAAAAAATTATTTTAACAAAAATTATAAGATTCAATATTAAATATTTATTTATATTTAATAAAATTTTATAAAATATATATTTTATATTAAAGAATAATTTTACTTAGTACATAAAAATAAGTTTTAATAATAATAAAAAAATTTTATATGTAACTATTATTAGTAATTAATTAAAATTAATTAATAATTATAATTAAATATAATTTTAATTTTAAAAAACTATATATTTTATTAAATAAAACTTTAAATATCAGGTAAAAATTTATGAAAATTTATACAAATCAATTCAATACAGATACATTAATCCTAAATCCAAACCAAGATTCGATGTCACTCTCCAATGGTTCAATTCACTACTCCACTTTTCAGAAAGCCCACTAATCAATAACCTACAACTAGGCAGCAGTGTCAAATGATACAAAAAAATTTTGAGCATCACCAAAATCTATATAATTTGTGAAAGTTCCTCAGTTTTCAGAACATTCAGACATATCCACAAATCTTAAGACCTCCAAATTATTAACAAATCAAACAAAAGAATTAAAAACTCTAGAGCTAACAAATATAGCAATCTCATCACCTTCAGAATTAAATTGCTTTCAGGAACTCTCTCCACTAAAGAAAACCTTCACAAATTATACTCAGAAAAATATCCTGATCCATATTGTTCCCGATATAGCCTATGTATTAAGGATATCCAACATGTCTTCAAATGTCCATCAGCATCGGAAGATATTAACCAACTTATTATTATCATCAACAACATTTTCACCCTGATGGCAACTATAACCCTATCTTACATGCCTAGCAATTAGTAGAGCTGGCTTGTGGTATTATAGACAATATCTTCTCCACAACTAATTTTTCCAACTGGATCGAAGCTTCAACTGAAACCTTAATTCATTTATACAAGTTAATTTGGATACCTTGCTGTGCTACAGCAAACACCTCCCCTTTCACCGGCATCAAATGGGACAACAACTGTTACAGCAACCTAACAAAACAAATAATCAAAAACCCAGCCAAGATCAAAACACTCAATAACAATTTCACATCAACATCAATTACTATAGATGCATCTACTATCGTAGTGGATTCATATATCCAAAGTGGATTAAACTTCATCAAATGTATCTCCAAATTAATTTCAGATTTCTTTAACCTCCTTCCATCCAATGCTGAGTAGGTAATCATAGCTACTCAGAGCCACTTGATAAGATATATTGTTTTAAAAATTTCTTTTCAATATTAGTTTAGTAGTTACTGTAGGCAAGTTAGCATTTAACTCATTGTACTAATATACATGAGAGATGTTGTTTCTTTTGCAATATATATCTATTATTATACAAATAAATAAAGAAATAATGTTTACCTATAAAAAAAAAAAAAATTTATGAAAATTTATATTTAAATACTTTAATATATGCTGAACAAACTTTATTAATATCAAATCACTTATTAAAACAGTGGTTATAAAAATCATATAGGTGTCAATTTTTAACAAAAAAATTAAAAATTTTCATTCAGAAAGAAATTGTTAAATGTAATAATAAAAAGTTTGTTCAAATTTAATAAAAATTTAATCATATATAGAATTTATTATGAGAAACAACTTTACTAATATATAAAAGTTGTTTTTATTAATAAAATAAAAAGTTTAATATATGACAACTATTTTCATTTAATTATAATAATTCTTAAGTGGTCCTTCATTTATTGGAGGAACTGTATATATATTATTAAATAATAAAATATTAGAAAATAAAATTTTAGAAATTAAGTTAAAAAAAAAAAGTTAACAAAATTACAAAACAAAGAATTAAATAAAATTATTGATAAAATATTTTCAAACTTATTAATAAATAGTAATAATTTTATAAATAATTTTATAAAATATTAGGATAAAACAAGTTTAAAAAAATAAAAAAGAATTAAAATATAATATAATTAAAATTTTGTCAAAATAAATTATATTAAGTAATAAATTTAAATCTTTTTAAACTAAAACAAAAACAAAATATCTATTTTTTAAATTATAATTAAAAATTAAATAAACACAAAACTATTTGTTTAATTATAAAAAAAAAAGTTTAAATTCAAATACAATAATTTTAAAAATTATATTTTTATTATAAAATATTTAATTATTTATTAAAAAACTTTATTAAATACTTAATTATATTTTTAAAGAATATTTTTTAATTAGAATAGTATTATTTTGTTATGAAAAAATTATTACTCTGTATTTAACTAAATTCTATATTGAAACAATTTTAATAACTGACTGTTATTGTTTTTTTGTAATTAACATAAAATTTAAAAATTTAATTGATATTTATTTTATTTTAATTTAATTTTATTATTATTATTATACCTTCAAATATACACATATACAGTATTTTTATCTTAATTAATTGATAATTATTAGTAAAAATAAATTTTAATTTTTTCCAAAATTTTTTGTTCACATTGTATTAATAAATAATTTAAATAATATATTCTTTAGATCTCATTATTATTTTTATAAAGTTATAATTATGTAAAATATACTGTATATATTTAAAGCTTGAATTAAACTTATAAGTAAAAATACTATAAACGATACATGAGTTATATAATTTAATTCACTTTAATTTGTTTAATTTCTCAGTTTGCAAAATACTCTTTAGAACGACAATACGCCTTCTAAGTCACGCTTGCAATCATGAACTAGAGATCCTCAAATTTGCAAAACGAGAACCAAAAAATCATCGCTTTTCTTTATAGATATAGTTTATTGATATAATTTAACATACACTCAAATTTTTATTGCATTGAAAGTGACAATAACTTATATATGAATTAAGCAGTCAAATAAAATAATTGAAAGTGAAACCATTAAACAATAACCTATATATGAATTAGGCAGTCAGATAAAAGAATTATATTAAGCAATTAAATTTTCAGTTCCACTGTCCACAAGACTGGTGAATCGGTTTCGATCGTTACTACATCTTCAATTAAATGATTAGATGTACTAATCATCTCACCAAACGACGTAGAGCTGTTAACTAATATACAATATAATTTGTTATTTTAATTATTTTCGGAATAAGGGCGAATTGTAAACATACGTAGATTCCATCGTAGTCCAGTAGTCGTGACAACGGCCTTTTCTATACCAATCGGTATTATCCCACATGTTGGGCCTTCAATTGCCCGATCGCATTGTATTTGATGAGTTCCCTACATAAGAAATGCAGTTTATCCATTGGTGATCATTAGGAATTTCAAATAATTAAAAAGCTTACTTTATCGAGCAAAATAGTCATACTCTGATCTGATAAAAAATAAATTATTCGTTCACTCTTTAGCTTATACATATAGTGGATGATTGACATTGCCTGGTCAACTCTGCCTCCAAGAGCACCTAGAGCGACTACATCATACTTTACATAATAGAATAATTTCACTAAATAATAATAGCATTTTATAAATCACCGAATTTTTATACCTTAATGGAAAATTCTTGTTCCTTTTTACGAATCAACTCAATGCATTTCATGAAATCTGTTGAGTCTTGATCAGCATCTCGTTGAATTTCAGTACCCTTAAAAACAAAAAAATGAATAAATTATATAATTAAAATAAGATCAAGATTTTCTTACTTGTGATATATAGAATTTTCGAACGTCATCCCTCAATGAATCTAGGTCACCTCTAATGTAGTGTGGAATATATCTAAAAGACAAAAGCAGCGTTTATTTTACGTTTTACAATCACAAATTCGAAATACAACTTTAACATACACTTTCTGCCTGTCAGTATCCTTGAAGGCTTCATAAAGTTGATTTCCACCGCCATCCGCGCAAATCTTTAGGTGAGCTTATACAAGATAAAAGTAATGAACTTGCAATTTGTATGCAATTTTTTACATTGAATTCATTGTTTATCCAATGTTTATATTGTGTCCGAAATAATAAGTTTACGTACCATTTTCCCATATTCTGTGGAAAACTTTATTACGACGTGAAATAGGTTGATTCAATATTATGAGAGCATAAGGGTGCCCACTATAGCAATCGTCTGAACTCTTTAGAAGCCTTGAATTTGACCAACGAAAATTTCCTGTAGACATTTTTTCGTCATGAAATTACGCGTTTTTAGCTATATATGTTGATTTATATGACCATATGACCAGTTAGTTACATCATATGACTAAATATGGTCGATTATAATGAAACAAATTTGGTATGGCTTTATTTATAAATATACAGTAGAACCTCTAAATTAATAATTCAAAGTTTTATAAAATTATAATAATTTTGAGAGATACAATAATTAATAGATTAATAATTTAAAAAGTTATTATATAAAAAAAAAGTAATATTTTCAATTGATAAATAATTATATAATATTAATAAGTTAAATACTAGTTTATTTATAAAACTTATTTTAATTATATAGAAAAATAAATATTAAATTAGTATTATTTTTAATATAATTTTAAATATTTATAAATATTTACTTAAAATTAATATAAATTAAATTATTATTATTATTTTTTTTATTTTTTTTTTTAAGTAGATAAACATTATCAAAAAAACTTTCTTCTGATTATGTTTGTTTTGTTAAAAATTTTTCTTTTATAATAATTTTAAGTAAGAAAAAATGGTTTACTCTTTTTATCACAAGTAAGCCTCAACTCAGGAACTCAAGAACCTTCAAGACAACGGTGCAGTGAAATGGGACCTCTGGTTGAAATTTACTTAAGCTTGGGGGTCTTGCTTATCCTTTGGTTACATAAGAAAAAATCCATAACAATTTTTTTTTCTTTAGTTCTCTTGTATTCCTTTTTATTCTTATTTTATTATAAAAATCATATATATCATTACTATTATATTCACTAAGTCAAATACTTTCCAAAACACATACTCAAACAAAGTTAGTGGATCTACTGTTTGTTTTAAGTCAACTCTTATATACAATATTTTTGTAGCAATATTTGCTATATTACTTTTAATCTTTAAAAAATTTTCACTTAAAAAACTGAAATCAGTTTACCTCTTTCAAATAATCAACATTCTTCAATTATCTAATCAGATTTCACTTAAAGATTAAAATAAAATCTAAATAAGCTTAAACTGGTTTTGTATCATAACAATAATAATAACAACAATAATAACTAATTTATTATCAACAACTATAACAACAAATAATATTACATATACTCTATTATCTATAGTATCCAAAAAATCGAAAAGATAAGACAATGAGCTTGTTTAGGAGTTTTTTTGTTATATACATAGATTTTATAGTATATTTGATTTAATTTTAATTATAGTTATTTTTTTTATTTTTTTTTTTAAAGTGCACTAGCGATAATTATCTGGCTGAGTATTTATTCAATAACGATATTTACATATATCTTTCGACATTACTATCTAGGACTATGCTATAATGTATCGGTTGTTAACTATATCTAACACTTATCGGAATTGCTCCAAATAATGACATTTGCTGTAACTTGTTTCTAACTATATTAGGTATAGAGGCTAATCTACTGGACAAAGGTACTCCTTTGTTGGATCAGTAGCATGCATTTTTACTAGTAGTCGGACAGCTTTATTTCTAACTGGGGAGGAATTAAGGGGAAGTTAAAAAGGGGCACTAGGGGTAATATCTATGACGAATAAAGCTACATGATCACTGCTTGCTTCATCAGGAATAAATTCCTTTACCACCACCTGCAGCTAGGCTAATCATTTAATTTCTTACCTATCCAATGATACCTAAGAACATTCAAGGTACTTATAATTGATACTTACCGCCTGAACACCAACTTACACATTGCAGGGAACAGGACTTATAGCCAGAAGCCTTCTCAGGATAAGTACCGCCAGACTGGTTTATTATTGGATTGGGATGAGACTAGGGCAGGGATCTGTGTGAAAGACACTGGATATTAGGGGAAGGATCACCAAACCTGCTTGTCAAAAACGAACACCTCATACACCTTACAACTTCTGGCAATTATCGTAACACCAACTGGACAATCGTCGCGCCATGACGCCTTTTCTGGGGATCACAATCCCAACGTTCTACTGGATCAGCGTGCGAATGACTTCTTATAGGAAACAGGGCTTAACAGGTTATGACCCCAGATACCATTTTTAATTCAGTTCAACCACTTTCACTTGGGGTTGAACTGGTATTTTGTGATCTGATCTGTGGAGTGTTAACCACTACACTATGGATCCACAGGTCTGTTATTTTTATTTTTCCTTTTAATTTTTTACATTTAAAAAATTAAAAAAATTTATAAAATTTTTTAAAATAGTAGACATAGCTGCTACTTAGTCTTATTTAGTACATTAATATTGATATTGATTTTTTTTATGATATTGATTAAATATTAATAAGTAGGCAAGTTAGCATTTAATTTTTCTGAAATAATGAAAGAAATATTATTTCTTTTATAATATATACCTTGTTATATATAATATTAAATAAAGAAATGATGTTTACTTACTAGAAAAATTCTTTTAAAAAAAGTAGATAAACATTATCACCTTATTAATTATATAATTGTTTAAAATTTATATATAGAGAAAGTAATAATATCTCTTATATAATTTGTTAATCTAATAAGTCTAATACTAGCTTGCCTATATAAATTATCTAAGTAATAAGAAAATAAAATATTAAAATATTACATATCTAAATAATGTTAAGCAATTATAAATATCTATTTAAATTTATATGTAAAAGAATTATAAAAAATAGAAAATTAAAGAAAAAAAAAATATTAAACAAAGAAATAAATACAAAAAAACTAATTATAAAGCTATGGATGCTTTAGATAAAATCACTAGATACACTACACTGATAGTTTTATTTAATTGAAGTATAGTGGTTACACTTTCAGAAATAATCAAACTATTGTCCAAAGTGTACAATAGTATTAATAATATACTGTATTTCTTTGATAATTAATTGGTTATAGTGATAATAATATTATTGTTGTGATACAATTATTATTATTATTATTATTATTTTAATTAACTAAGGGTATTAGATGTGAGACATTTATCAAATATTTGTTTGTAGTCATTACATCAAACATCTTTACAAAGTAGGCTATTTCTATCCTAAATGTAAATTAATATTATCTGATAATCACTGTTTCCAGTAACCTCTGGTTTCCTCTAGACCAATTACAACATATCCAGCTATACAAATTTTAAACATCAAGTAGATGATCCACATGCCAGATGGAACTTACATAGGGAGTGGAAATCCTATCACTAGTTTAAACCACCTAATCTACTAGGTCCAATCTCAACTGCATCTGTTGTAGAGGAGGTATATTATGAAATATAATTATAAAGATTGATTTCAATATTCCATTTGCTATTATCATTGATCCTTGAGATGTATCACTAGCATAATGCAGCACTACTGTTTTCACCACCTGTGAAACTGATATTCTTACTTGGATTCTGATTTAATCTTATAAATTCTCACTAAACTCACTTGGCTTAATGATTTTTGTCTAGTCTTCTTATCACCTGTAGCTGATACCTTGCCCTTCGGTCATATGATTAAGTTCTGTGAAACACCACTATTGGGATAAATCTACAAGCTTCAAATTGGAATAGATCAGCTTAGAATTAACCTCTTTATGTTGTGTAATAGAATTTGCCATTGTCAGTTTGGATTGAAGTTTATGGGCTTATTACTGAAGTTAGACCAGAAGCCTTTTCTTATGCAACCTTCCTTACTTCAACCTGTTTTCAGCCCACGATTATTGGAAAAACCAAAAGCTTACCTTTGTGCAGTCTAATTAATTTTGAAAGATGATTTGCAACTAATTGGATACAATATAAATTGAAAGCCGGTCAATCAATTATGAAGGTAATAAATTTTTGTAACCAGATGGAATTGAATCCTAAATCTTTACCTAATAACCTATGGAGCTTTATTACTGAGCTATAAATCCATAGGTCTTGTTGTAATACAATTATTAATCAGTTTGTTTGTTAGTAATGTGATTTTATTTTAGTTGTTATTATCAGAAAAGATTTTGTTTATATCAATTAGTGTATGGAATTTTGGTTGTATAAATTTATTTGAAAAATTGGTAGTGTTTGATTAGTTGAGTTTAGAATATTAATTAGTTAACAGAAATAAATTGATTACAGTTTTTTTGTAAAAATTTTTTTTAAAAAAAATTTTGTGTTTTTTGTGATGCAGCAAATTATGCCAAGAGATAGTAAGAAGTAAATAATAAATATATTGCTGGTTCTCCAAGTCAACAATATAAACATTTTTAAATTAATTAGTATTTTTTCAGAGGTTTTTACAATAAAATAAAGATTGTA